ATTACAAGAAGAAATACATAATATTACAGGATTAAAATCATTGCGAGAATAAAGTCGTAATATTACAAGAAGAAATACATAATATTACAGGATTAAAATCATTGCGAGAATAAAGTCGTAATATTACAAGAAGAAATACATAATATTACAGGATTAAAATCATTGCAAGAAAAAAGTCGTAATATTATGAAATTAAAGTTGTAATATTATGAGAAAAAATGTCCTAATCTTACATTACATATCCATTTTCCATTCATCCCTCATTTTTTCCTCATGTCCTCCTGATTTTCCTCCCACCTGATGTGGACAGCCATGAGTGTCAATATGTTTCTGAAATAGTTTGCGCTGACTTTTGGGTCACTGTTAGTGTCAAATCCTTTCATCCAAATTATGTGACSACTWAATCTGAAAATGCARCCATTAATTACACACTACGACTTCAGTTTRTCATATAGTCGTTTGYACAATCTTATCAAAGTCCTGCTACTGATAATTTGATGTTAATGTGCCAAAAGATAAAGTGTTTATTTTAAATGATCAATACCTGAAGAATAACTTCACAAGTTGCTCAGTATTTCTCATTTTACCGCAGTGGTAAGACTGCTTTTTTGTGTAAAGGTTCTTGTAATATTACGACTTTATTTTCACAATATTATGACTTTTGTCTTGTAATGTTATGATTTTAATCTCATAAAGTTACGACTTTATTGTTGTATGATTAGGACTTTATTCTTGTAATTAAAAATAATAACAGTCTTGTCGTGTGGCCTTAATACTCCGTCGTCGTCTAATAGTTTTGCCTGATTCTGTATTTTTCAGGAAGATGAATTTTGTATTTTTTAGTAGAGCTGTTTATAAAATCTGTTTTCGGTCTGATTTCCTGCTGCTTTTTTGTGTGCAGAACTAAAGGCCAGCATTGACAAACTAAATCAAACGCTCGAGGGCATCTACTCAGACAACAGTCTGTGCCAGGTAAGGCTTCTCYTCACCTAATTTATTCTGTAAAGAACAGCAATTCAGTACGAGTTTTACTTTTTTGTAGAAAGTGCACTGACTAAGATTGCAGTAATTGTTTGTGACCTTTATGTTATATAGCTGAAGGTTATTAATTAAAATCTGCACAGTGGAGTCCTAATATTTAGATAGAGTCTCTGCACTGAAAGGTTTCATTAGTTTCCAATTTAAATGCTGTTTCTTCCTTTATTCTCGCCCAGGTGCCCTACAGACTTCACGCAGTGCTTGTTCACGAAGGCCAGGCATCAGCCGGTCATTACTGGGCTTATATCTACGACCACGCTAACCAGCGCTGGATGAAGTACAACGATGTCATCATCACAGAGTCATCGTGGGACGAGCTCGAGAAGGACTCGTTTGGAGGCATGACCAATGCCAGTGCGTACTGCCTGATGTACATTGATGACAGACTACCCCAACTTATCACAGGTATGTCCTTCAGACACATACAGCAGCATGGAAGTGAATATATTAGTTTTATTTTGTTCATTAATTCAAATAGTGAGATTCTGCAATGATAAAAACACAACTGTCTACAATAATTTCACATTTTTTTAATCAAACTCTAATTTCTCTGTGAGCAGTAGGCATGATTTAATAGTCTAGTCATAGCGTATTTTAGTCCTACATGTCTCCAGCTAAATTTAGGCCACATTAAAGCCCAAGCAGTTTAGTCATTATTTATTTCTACACCACAAAGCAACTCCAGTGGTTTAGGATTATAAACATGCAGAGGTATATAAAGTACTTGAAAAAAATAACAAAGTAAAAGTAAGAATATTTTAACAGAAAATGACTTTGGTAAAAAGGAATTTCCCTGATAAGAAAAGTCATCGTAAAAGTCATAAAACGTCGCACAATAATCAAGAAAATAAAAGTACTTTTTCACACACTCTAAGAAATGAAGTGTTGAATTTGCAAAAGCAGTGGTGGGCACAGTTCCCMTAAAGCACTAAAGCACTAATAGGGGAACTAATTTCCTKATTAGTGCTTTAGRGCTTTTGCTGTTTTTTTTWAATTMATTAGTGGATTAGCACTTGCTAAATTTAAAAGCACTAACTGAGGTCTTTAAATGTTATTGATCAACATTATTGTTCGCAGCTGAGGGTGAAATCTGTCACACATTTTGTTCATATGTGTGTCACTAACCTACAAGRTCACGTGTGTCAAACTCAAGGCCCGCGGGCCAAATGTGGCCTGTGGGTGACTCCGATTTGGCCCACCGAGGACACTAAGTGACAACATTCTGCACACAGTAAATATTGTCTCGTTGACTCTGAAGAATGTTTCATGTGTCAACTGGATTATTTCAGTGCTTTTTAGCTTTTGCTAAATTTTTCAGTGCATTAGTGCTTTAGAATTAGGGGACCTAAATATTTGAGTTAGTGCTTTAGGGTTAGTGCAACTAATATTTAGATTAGTGCTGCCCACCACTGTTTATAATCAAACTGGTTCCACTAAACCAAGTTGAGTAAATTAAGAAATTTGCACATTTCTTTTAAAGAAAGCACACACTTTACGTTTATTCAACTTGGTTTAGTGGAACCAGTTGACTTAACTTGGTTGAGTAAATTCAACTCTTCATTTTTAGAGCGCATGAACAACTCATTTCATGATGAGTTCAGTCRTATTTATATTAATTAAGGTGTTAAATTTTAAAAGTGAAAATGTAGTCTTTAGCTTTTAAATGCAACAAAATAAAAGTAAAAGTTACGATTTCAAAAAATACAAATCAACTGCACGGAAACAAAGTAAATGTACTTAGGTACACCTCTGTAAACACACAATCCAGTCAAAAAAATAAACAATTAATGAATCTGTAAGTCTGCTAAATGTTGACTTGTGGCTCAAATCTAACCAACATCTTTCAGACATCTTTGTACTTTAAAAAATTATTTCTGCTTTATACAAGAGACTGTGGCATATATTTTGGCAGCATGTTAATTCAATTGAAAAACATTTTGCTATTTGTAAATCTTTTATTGTGATTTTTATCGTGTTAATCTACTAATTAACCTTCTCACGTTTGCTCAGAGGACACGGATGATGAGACAGGCCAGGCGCTCCACGGCATGGACTCCCTGCCGCCTGTCCTCAGACGCTACGTCCAGGAAGACAACCGTTGGTTCCAGCAGGAGCTCAACGAATGGGAGGAGCAGTTCTGCCAGACCGCAACTGCACAGGAAGAGTCCACGACCACGGCGGAACCTCCGAGCTCCAGTCCACAGAAGACACCCGTCGAGCCAGCGCCGCAGTCAGGACCCTCCACTGAAGAACTGGATCAAGGAGCTGCTTTAGAGCCGCAATCAACCCCTGAAGAGGAAAAGGATAAAGATGATGATGCTGGGGCTACAGCTGCCGGTGTGTAGCGCTGACTGGAAAAAAGAAAGTGATGCTTTTCTTTAAACCACTGAAATACCCTAATTTTTAGTGTATTAATACTTATTTTGTCATGATTTAAACCAGAGCTTAATTTGGAAATTCTGTCCTTTCATCCAGTCTTTTTCTTTACTGGGTCACAGTCAGGTCTCAAGTCTATGCAGGGCCACATAAAGACAAATGAGACCAACAATCAAGCATGCTCTCACTCACACCTTGTGACATTTTAGAGTTAGCCCAACATTAATGATCTTGGTTTGTGCAAAGTAACACCTCACCAACACCCTGTATGCAGCTATGGGTCAGATTACCTGGAAACAAACCCTCTTGTTGACCAGATTTAGCTGACAGTTGCATCTCAGATGAGTTGAGATCGTGTTATAAAGATGTGATTTTTTTTTTTACTCAAACCATCTTTCCATGCATTTTGTAGCAGAGGATCCAGAGTTTTTGCCGCAGCCCGAGAATCCCGGCTGCCAATCAGATGCCACCAACACTCCAGCTGTCACTGACACTCTGGAGATGAAGCAGAGCTCAGTTGATCTGCAGAGTCAGGTGGGAAAGTCCATAATAATCCCCTCTGCATGGGATATGGGTCAGAGATTCTTGGCTATAAAAGAAACTGTGACCATCTGGGTCAAAAAAGTTCAGATACATAAATCATAACATGCAGTTAATTTTTTTTTCTCACAGTCAAAGTGTATATTTTAGTCGTAAAATATATTTTTGCACAAACGTTGCTGCTGCAGGGTTTCCACCGATCCAAGCTTTAGTTCATCCTGTCCTTGTCAGACCCCWGTCCAGGATGCAGATCTGAGTACTCAGGCACTGCCTGAACTCGGCGAACAGAAGGACRCGGCCCAATTCAGCTCTCAAAACGAAGAACACGAAGCCTCCGGAGAAGCTCCCGAACTTGCAGCAGAGCAGGGGAACGAGGAGCAGAACCAGGAGGCTCCGACCAGACCGCGGCAGGTGGAGAACGAGGTTTCAGAGGTGGAGATCCCCAATGTGGGCAGGATCATGGTGAGGGCTGACGCTGAYGGTTACAATGAAGAGGTAAACAAAATATTTTAGCATTAAAATATTTGTTTAGATTAAAATGAACTGAACTGTGATTAATTTACTCATTTTAATTACGGTATTGTTTTCTTTTTAGATATAATTTTCACTCAGTTTCTGCATTTTTTCCCAACTTTATATTTTCTCAGATGATGCTCACTCCAGCTATGCAAGGTGTCATCCTCGCCATAGCCAAGGCCAGACAAATATTTGACACAGAAGGCCCTGAAGCTGGCCTCATCAAGGTGAGAAGCTTTAGGCTTATTTTCTCTTATAACAGTAAATTACATCAAATCAATAGGATTGATTTGAGGTGACAGTTTGGCCTGATTACAGTTTAAATAATTATCTAATGTGAAATAAAATTCAGATACAAACACAAAAATATGCATTCTGAAGGATGTGCTATCCTTCATGTCATAGAGTACAATGTTGAATATGATTTTAATAAACCAGTTTTAAATTGGTTTTCAAACTTGTAACATGTTCAATTCTGAGTCATTTCGGCTTATTTTACACATTCATGTTGACTATGAGCATTTTAACTGAAATTGTTATATCACTGCTCTTTCAGGCTTTCCATGAGGAGTATTCCCGCTTGTATGAGCTCTCCCAGGAGGAGAACACGCCCCAGGAGGATGCCCGTCTGCAGCAYGCTCTGGTTTACTTCTTTCAAAACAAGGCGCCCAAGCGTGTCATTGAGAGGACGCTGCTGGAGCAGTTCACAGACCGCAACTTGAGCTTCGACGAAAGGTGCGCACAGGAAAACAGCTTCATAACTCTTGAATATGGCTTGTTTCTTTTAGCGCTTGTTTAAAATAAAAAATAAGATTACAAATCAGCTGTTGAGACATCATAAAACAACAAAAGAAGACTCTCTTGAAAGCACGACAACTGCTTTTTCACTTCAACAATTTTTGAGAGTTGTATATTTGATAGGCCGTACATGTAGCAGTTTGCAAAGGTTAACACAAGGTGTTACTGATTCCACCACCCCGCAATGCAGCTTATTGGGCTGTCAGCGTGCTTTGTCTCCCATCTAGTGTCCAAACCTGAGACCTGCAGCTCCTGAGCATCATTACAATCTTCAGCTGTCCTTGTTTTTCATGCAGGGCCATCAGCATAATGAGGGAAGCCCGATCCAAGCTTCGTCTCATTAAACCAGAAGATATGGACATGGATGAATACATGGTACTGTCTGTGATCTGATGAGTCAATGTTAAATGTGCCAAAGTTTGCCAGACAGGCTTATTTTCATGTTTTGTGGTTAATCATCTCTACCATATTTCATTATTCCAGTGGAAACTGAAAAATAATGCAAATATCAGACATTTTCAGCCAAAGAATCAAAGATTCATTTAGTAACTCATTTTAAGATAAACCATTAGTTTAATGGGAGCATTGATCCATTTTTTACATAAAACAAAAAATATATATTTAATTTGCTGAAAGGTTTACAGTAAAGCCTAAAAGCAATAACACGTTGACTAAATGGCCGTCAAATATCAGTTTAAAATATTATGAATTTCAGTTTAAAAAATTAAAATGCTAAATGTTACAGAAGAATTGTTTATTTTGTTGGGTCTGCTTGTTGGGATCTTACAGCATTTATTAAAATGAGAACTTGGCAACCTCCAGTACAATGAACAACTGGGTTTTAAGGAAATTGTACTCCCAGATTCAAGCTTTAAGTTGTCTCTGATAAAAAAAAGTAATAAATCTTATTTTCTAATAATATCATTACCAAAAGAATATTTATTTTTTTCAAGAAAAAAACAACATTGAAATTATGATTGCAGCCATTCCATTTTAAAGGTAATTTCTCCATAGAGCATTGTAATTAAATTATGTCACTATTAAATTTATGTGAGTAAAATTCATCAGTTGAGCCTCTCTAACATGACTAATGTGTACCAACAGAGTAACGAAGGCACAAATCAGGAGCTTGCTGTTGATTTTCTGTTTTCTCCCAGGAGTGGCATGATGACTACTTGCTGTTCAGGACGGTGTTTGTCCATCTGCTGACCGGACTGGAGCACTACCAGCATGGAAAGTAAGTGTCAAATATTCACTGCAACACTGCTGCGACCAAATGTTTTACAGCTTGTCTTTGAATTTGAATTGTGCATGTCATATTCATATCCTGTGAGGGCAAAAGAAATAAAATATGTATAAGCAAAATGAAGAATTTTGGATGCGTATCACTCCACTGCTTGAGTGGAACTTGGTAACTGATTTGCCTGGTTAAATAAAGGTTAAAGCATAATTAAACTGAACTGAAAGGGTTTGTTGTTGCTGATGTGATTGTGTCCTCTTTGTGCCTCAGGATGCAAGAAGCTTTGAACTATTTGGCTCACGCGTACGAGACCAACGCCACCCTGCTGAAGAAGGGAGACAAACGGGGAATGGACAAGTCCCTTATTGCAGTTTACAGGAGGAAATGTCTTGCTGTGAGTACAGCAACACGTGTAAGCTGTGATATTTCAAGTCAAGTTTAAGATTCCCACGCTAAATCTAAAACCACAGCCTGTCCATGGTAAAGAGGCACTGGCTTGGATCAGAGGAAACTTTGAGGCTCATAAAAGTTATTTCTGCCCTCTTCTGGGAGTTATGATTCTCCATCCGACGCTTCATGACATCTGGCCAGTTGCTGAAATGTTTTCCTTTGTGCCAAATGTCTGAGCAGGACAACTGACTGCCCAACATTCCCTTATTTAGGCTCTGGCTGCAGCAAAACAGTGTTTGAAATGAGAAACTCTTGGGTTTGTTTCCTAACATTTGTGATGTTTACACTGAAGTCACTTATTTCAGTTAAAGGCTTAAATGTGGCCATTCATTCTGATGATTCAGACCAGGGGTGCCCAAACATTTTTTTCCTGAGAGGGCCAAAATTAGAAAAAAACATTTTCCCTGAAAGGACCAAAATTCAAATCAATCTGAGGACCAATAATATATGAAATGCAAAATAAAGTTGTTTTATTTTCTATGATTAAGCTAGCAGCCAGTGTGGTTGCCCACCTTTTTTTCTCTTCAGCCCATGGACATGGACAAAATTCAACGTATCCTCAGGCAGCAAAGTCTCATGGGGCTTTTTACATTTAAAATTTTAGTATATGTATTCTTATAAGGTGTGCATTTCTAGATATGGGCTTAAATCTAATCTAAATGTCTCAATCTAATAACCAGGACAACTGCTGGTTGGCCAAATCAAATGGCTTGGCGGGCCAAATTTGGCCCCACTTTGGGCTCCTCTGATTTAGACTAAGATCATCTTGAGAAATGATGGAGCTGTAACTCGTGCAACGCTAGAGCTTGGAGTATGTGTTGCAAATGATTTACAGCTACCACACTATATCTGTAAAACTGACTGTTAGAGCTTTTTCATGATTGCTGAAATTGCATGTGGTCGCCATCTTGGATTGACTTGACTGCAAGAGTAAGCTGTAGGCCAGCTTTTTTATTTATAAGACATTTTGCTACTTGAACAAACACAGGTACGCCTTCTGCCTTTGGTGGCAACTCCGTTAATTGTTTTTTCTACATTTTCTCTTTCAGTTTGATTGGGAAAATGAAACACGGTTGCAAAGGTGAAAGTAAAAGTTCCTCTGTTTTCTCCATCTCTCTCCTCCTCAGGCGTTGAATGAGAGYGCGTCCCGCCTGTTTTGCAGCGGAGAAGAGAGCAAAGTGGAGGAGGGCGTTGCCATCATGGACGAGGCCGTCATTCCCTGTCTCCACCTGATGAGCCGCGACTCAGCTTTACCTCAGGAGGACCGGGACGCCATGGAGAGCATCCGGAGCCACTGGTGCTGCTGCCTGGGCCAGGACATGGACGGTGAGTTATAAACAGCATATCACAGAAGAAGGTGAATGCTATGATTCAAGTCCTCTTTCAGAAATTATTATGAGCTTTTACCTAAAGATCAAGAATGTGAAGTGAATTGTTTCAGTTCAGGCTAATTTCCACAGCTGAAAATGAATAATTGAAGGTGAACAAAACCGACTATAATCTAATAAAACTAAACACTACAGCACTAATTTCTGCTGTTTGTTCTTTTTTTTACAGATGCACTGCAGGTAAAGCTGGGTGAGTTGCTGCCCAGGGTTCTGGATGGTTCCACTGGCAGAGTAGTGCTTAAAGATCCACCAAAAGTCCACCTCAACCAGGCGCACGACCTGTGCAGCCGCCTGGCTGCCGTCATGGAGTCCATTCACAAAACCACAGTCGTAGCTGTAAAGTAAAGTCCTGCAGGAAGCCCACAGCGGTGGTACATCTTCACTGCCAGCAGCGTGGCTGCTGAATCGGTCGGTACCGTAGGACTGATGGATTGAGACAGTACTTAGATTCTAATGTCTGCTGGCTTGGCATTGCACATGCAAACAAAACTGATGTGTTAATGTGCGGTTAGATAAGAGATCAGGCACAAATACATGCTCATCAAAAAAAATAATTTAAAAAAAAACGTCTCTGAAGAAATTAATTCAGTCATATCATCTCTGCCTGCTCATTTATGTAACATAAAGAACCTCCATCAAGAAAAAAACAAATAAACTAATACCCAAAATGTGTTTTTGCCAAAAACCTGCAGAACTCCCAATGAATGTTTAGTGACCAAATATCATCTGGCATTGACATGTTTTACATTTTAACACACTCAACTTTACTGTTAACACTCAAGGTGTATTTTATAACTAAAACTTTAACTATCTCCTTTTGTTTTTTAGACTAATTCCTCAAACGTTTGGAAATCACCTAGCAGGATTCAGTTTTTGCACTTTTTTTTCCAAACAGGTCTCATTTACTGGCTGCTTTGTTAAGTAAGTAAAGTTTATTTTTCTAGCACTCTTCATAGATAAAAATCAGAAAATGCTTCATTATAAAATGCATAAAATAATATGGATACACAGGAAGCAATAAATCAATACGGGTCACTTAAAAAGAACATAAAAAACTAATTAAACATATTGTCATGAAAAGAGCTAAATCAAATCATGTTTGAATAAAAATTTAAGGCATTGTTGATGAAACAGTTAAGATCCTGTTTGATCCAGTTCTGGTAAAGCTGCAGATGATTAACAGTTGTTTTAAAGTAGTAAAAAGTGCATTACAATAATCTAAAAGATAAAAAATAAAAGCATGGAAAACCATTTCCAGTTTATGGTTCATCTCCAACYTTCCTTATTTGGAAATATCAAAACAAAGAGATAAAAACTGTACTGAAGCGATCTTCAAGAGACATAAATTGTTWAAAAAAAAACATCCAAGTTGCTCAAGCTGATTTAACAGCAGAGCTTTACTGATTGGTCGCTTAACTCGACAGGACATTAAGATGTGATCTGCTAAAAATGTTGCCAATTCAGACTCCTCATTTTTTTTACAAGGCTTAAAAAACACTCTCTTTTTACTGCACAACTTGTTAGCTTTTTTTAATTCATGTTTTTATCTCCTTGTGTTTTTCTCATCCATAGCAGTAGTGTGGATAAAAACACCAATAAATGTCAGGAAATCAGGTACAAATTTAAAAAAAAGAGCTGTTGTGTGCTCAGGTTTGAGTAAATTAGCTACCTTGAACTAATGAGGAGTGAAAACTCTTCCAACCRTTTGAAGATTTTAACTGAAAGACAAGATGAAACACAGATAAGATCCTGTTTTTCTTGTGTAATGAGTCCAGCAGAGTGTTTGGATCCGCCAAAGTTTCAGGGCAGCATTGTAGAGCTCCAACTCTCATAACTCGCTGCAGACATTTTCACTTGTACTCTCTGAYGATCCTCAATAAATCGTTAAAATCCTCTGTATCTTATTCATTATTGACTCGTGAGTTCTCCTAACCTGTTAGTTAGCTTGTACATTTTTATATTTATTTCAAACTTTAGAACAGTTTTGGCAGAATCTGTGTGCTCAATGCTTTAAAAATGTTTTCTATGCTCCTTAARGAACTAAATAAAAAGCATTAAATCCTTCATGTATATCTTGCTCTTCTCCCTCGTTTTGTTCTGTTGTCTGAAGTTTGTTAAAAGCATGAATGAGCCTCTCAGTTTCACATGTCATGCATAATATTGAGGTTTATTTTAGCTGAATCCCAGCAGCACCTGTTGCTCTGTTTCTGTAATCACTTGTTTAGCAAATGTGTGTTAATCCACAGCAAAAAAATAGTCCCAAAACCTCTGAAGAAAAGTGACGGCGTCTACTTGTAATCATCCATCTTTTTGTCATGGGATTATTATGTGCATTATGTCCAACATCATGCTACTTCTATTCATGTTCTCACAGTTTAGGCAATAACTAATCTCATTTTGGTTTTTCTAATTTACCTCTCTTCATCCAACATTTAGTCGTGTTTGCAGCGACAGTTGACAGAAAAAGTTCACGTAAACCTCTTTTATCTGTTTACATTCCTACAATAGCCTGTAGGTTCAGTGTGGAATTAAGTCTTAACTGTTATTTAACCTGGCATTATGGTGGGATGAAGGCAGTAATGCTGATGAGATGGAGCAGACGGCGAGTAAGATTTCTAAGGTCCAGGCAAAGTGGTGCTGTGTGTGTCACATGTCAGCACAAAGTTCTGCAAATAATAACAAACTACTTTTGTCTACAATGTCCATAATTTATTGTGGTATAGATACACATTTGTAGTTAAGTTCAACAACAAAATGCATGTTTATTTTGTAGCACTGGGCTTTAGTAACTGTCTTTAATACTTTTTGAAGATACTTCGAGTTATCCTGTGTTCACAAATATCCATTATGGAAATTAAAGCAAATTAGAACCGAGTTTGCATATAAAATCTGCACGTATCTGGGTGTTTGAAGCTCCTGGAAAGCTATTGGCCTAATGTTACTTCCTTTGTTTTTTGTCTGTTTGTTTTTATAACCCAGTGGTTCTGAATGGCATCTATCATTGTATCAGACAGACAGACCAGGGGTGAAAYGGGGCACCCTTAAAAATTACTGCCCTCTTCCCTCTATATTTATCCGACAGTATATACCATAAACATTCTTCTCTTGACTCATAAGCTTTTGTTTTGTGGCTAAAAATTAGGGATTCACCGAAATGAAAATTTCAGCCGATATTGATATCCGATATAATTATTGCTGTTATGGCCGATAACCGATATTTACCGATATTACACAAATTATCTTAAATGTTTACACACAAACATACTTGTTTTTTTAATACCGCAAATAAATGGCCAGACCTCTGACATGGCTCCCTACTTCAGTTATTCCTGACTGCGCAGCGTCAATATCCCTATCATGATCAAACAGATACTACTCGACCAACCATCTCCCCTCCCAAAACAGAAACACAAAGCTTAAAAAGTGGGAAATCGATATCGGACACTAATATCGGTCCAGTTTTAAATATCAGACCCATACCGATATGCTAAAAAATGACCAATATCGGCCGATACCGATATTAATGTTGATATATCGTGCATGCCTACTGAGATTGAAGGAATGAACGAGGAAACAATAACTGACTGCAACACCATTCATGGTTAACCAGCTTTCATGCTTTCTGACTGCACCCTCATGTAAATCAATTAAACTTTTATCAGATTTATTTGCTTTGTTAAGGCCCCCATCTTTGATAGATAGATAGATAGATAGATAGATAGATAGATAGATAGATAGATAGATAGATAGATAGATAGATAGATAGATAGATAGAT